ACCAAAGGTAGGCTACTATGCAATAAAGCCTAGTTTAAGGAGGACGGAAGGTAGAGCGTGGAGCATTTTCTTAGTCTTGTACTTATTTTTGGCTAAGTCTTTTCTTTTTCCGGCTAGCTCTAGCCCTAGTAGAGGTCCGAGTAGACTATACTATAAGGGCCAGCGTCCAAGGACCTGCCAGACCGCTGATCTCACTTAAGCACTCGACGTCACAAATAGCAATAAGAAGGGGCAGGGTCAACGATCACTCACGTCTTTTCTCAGCAGCAGATCCGACGAGCTCAACTTCCACTGAAAAGAGAGGCTAGACCTCAACCTCAGATTCTAAGCCTGATGGTAGAGATTCCCCTGATCTTCTTCTTCCGATTCCTATTCCTATTCCGATTGGTGGTATGGCTCCAACCAAGGGCTAGGCCTTTCCTCCGCAAGCCTATTAAGTTAAGTAAGCCGGGTCAGTACTTAAGTTGGCCTTCACCGGCTAGACCTCCGGGAGTTCTGATAGCCAGTCTTTTTCTCTTCTATGTTTATTGTATTTTTTACAGAAAGGCAGGAATGCCAAGGACTTCCCCCCCTTCCTCTTCCCTGAACGGGAGGACTGTCCATCCCCTGTCTTATTTATTCATCGGGCTTTGGCACGCTCTCTCTCTGGGGCCGGAATACCTGGACCTCGGGTTAGAAGGCAGATTGTCCTTTCTCCATTATAGTAGTAGTGGTCAATTGCTCTTCTTTGAGGGCTAGAAGCATCCTCAGGTCATTGAGGATGGTCAAAGCAATGCAATGGAGTTTTCCGAGGGGAGCAGAGAATTCCACTCCTTGATTAGGAGGTTACAGCCTTGATTATGAATAAGCCGTGAATATGAATAGTCAGGAGCGAGGTTACGAGCTGGCAGAGACAGAAAATCTGGGCACAGGTGACTAGTTGAAGGTGTGCTCATTCCTAACAATAAGAAAGGAAAGAAAGAAGAGGATTCTTGGGTAGTATATCAGCAGGTTCATCGCACAGCTCACTCCCTTTTGCGATCCCATTTTCAAGCTCTTGAGGAAGAAGAAAAGGAGTAGAACGATGCCCTAGACTGACTATGCAGAGTGCTTTCGAGAAGATTAAGACCTATCTTTTTGATTCTTTTTTTCTGTCTTGGTACTTTTTTTATTCAGGGAAGACCCCTCTTGCTATACCTCTCGGTCACGGAAAACTCCATGAGATGCGTCTTAGGCCAGCATGATGAAAGGGGAAGAAAGGAAAGATTACTACCTGAGAAAGAAGCTGACGGACTACGAGTCGTCATATTCGACCTTGGAAAAGACGTGCCTCGCCTTGGTGTGGGCTAGGCAGAGGCTCCGACATTACCCTCAAGGCCTATTCCCTTCTCCTGTTGGCAAGGATGGATCAAAATATCTCTTTGAAAAGCCGGCACTAACTTGCCATCCACACTCAAACAAGTAAACCAACAAGTAAATAAGAACATTAGGTTCGCTATACACTCACGGAGCACTAACTTCAAACCAGTGACCAGATAGTGCGAAATAAAAAAAAACCAATGCAAGGCAAGAACCCGATTATCGACGCTCTGCTAATAGACTCCCTCCTTTGAACATAGATCCGAACTCCCACTCGGAACAGAATGGTTACTGGAAAAGGATTGGTTGTCTTTCGAACATCGGATCTCGAGTACAAGCCAAGGAGAAAGACTGCCATCTCAGGCATACCATCGACATAGTAAGGAAAGGACAGGCAGAAAGCGCGCTAATCAAATCCTATCCCTTCTTAGTCCCAGCTAACCAACGGCTCCCTATGAGCTCATAGTCGCTAAGAGGAAGAAAAGCTTATTCCATCATTTCCAGGGGAAACCGAACTAAAGTGAAGTTAAGCCGAGTCTGCTTCTTTCTTTCCTTTGCTACCGGGCATTCACTGCCAGTCACTCCTAAATCTACCTGGTATGGACTGCTAAATCGATTCCTCTTGGCTTGATTCAAAAATCCTCTCAGAAGCCCGTGTATATAGTGTATATAAGTAAAAGATGTGACTTTCACAGGTCGTCCCCGATTGCTCTTTGCTGAAAAAAGAAATGGAAAGTTAGCTCATAGGGCTGGCGCTGGTACTCTGCGGAAGATGCGTGAATTGGCCTGCTGAACCGATCTTGCTTAGGGCGGGTGACCATCTTATGATTGAAGATAAGCACCGAAAGTAAGAGAAGTGAGGCGTTCGGAACCTATTCTAGTAGAGGAACCAACCCCCAGAAAACCTGACCAAAAGATAGCTAAGTTCCCGTCACTAACCTTACTTCGGAGTATGTGGCTGATCCGCTGAGAAAAGACGGTAAGGCAAAGAGAAAGTACCACTTTTCGTTAAGATTAATCTAATCTATTGAAGAGTCAAGGTTTCCAAGGAGCACGGATGAGGCGAAGCATCGATCCAACTACATACCAACGGAAAGCCATTACGGGCGGTCGTATCCCATCGTATTCACGTATCAATGCGTAAGTGGTCATATAATAGTTGCGTCGTTGCGCCTAAAGTCTTATGGCCGAAGGAAGGACGCTTTACCGAATACGATGACACCGATGAGTGCCAACCCACCATAGACTGAAGACTGATCTTACCGACGGTGGTCTCAAGGAAGGAAATATGGATAACCGTCAACAAATTAAGAGCCTACCTAGCTTTTTCACTTTGACACCGTTCTAATTTTCCTTCTTCCACCATACCAACCCTACCCTTAAGAAGGTGGTGCTCTTCAGGATTGAGTGGGTTGCAGACTCCTTTTCAATCTACCATACGGAAGCTACTTCCATGTTGGGAGACACGAATCCCTCACTAGTTTTTTTGAAGCGTGGCGGGGCAATAGTCTTTTTCGAGATAAAGGAAGTCTGAGGGAAGAGGTAAGGGAAGTTCGAGGTAAGACATTCTTGACCACCGACACCACAAAGACTATAGGTCGTTTTTGACTAATTAAACGGAAGCGGTAAAGACGATCCGCCTTCTCATTCCCCACGCACATGCTCTACCTCCGATTCGGATTCGGATTCGGCTCTGGGGGCTGGGGATTGGAAAGGTGCCCAACCAAGTGAGTTAAATTTAGAGAAGGCTAGTCAAGCCCTACTTCCTCAATCAAATTAAGAACCTTTTTATAGGTGCTCCACTGATCGCAAGATCTAAAAGAACCAGAAAAAGATAAGAAAGAAGAGTAGCCGCCAACTCTGGAATGTCCGAGAACGTTTAAAGGTTATCCGCCACTTCGTCCACCCTGCCTTTCTTAGTCGAAGAGTTTGATGACCGGATGGATGGCGCCTTGGGTTAGCAATCCAAGTGATCCTTACAAGCAACTGCAGTCCCTGATAAGGCAGCAGTGATGGTATAGGAACCCGAGGTAAAGAAAAAAAGAGTATATACCTTGGAGTTATCCGCAGTGCCACGGCTCTTTTTCTTTTCTAGCTTAGGACACAGCAGAGAGGTAGTCTAGGGCGACATTAATATGACAGAATATCTATGACTCCATATATCCCTAGAAGCCTATAACACAGACATCTGACTTTCTTTGGTTAAAGTGACGGTACTACCTTACCTTCCAGGATGTCTCAATAATGGGACCCACCCATACATAAGATAAAAGAAGATTGGGGCCGCACACAAGGCTTAAAGCTACCGTATAACGGTCAGGTTGACCCTCATACCACATGGAACCTCTCTCACCAGTGATGTAGTAGAAGACCCGGAGTTTCAAGACTCGCTTCCAAACCAAAGTGGCCTTTCTTAAATACTTACCGGCCAGCCCGAGTGTCCACATTGGGCATTCATAGGAGGACGAACAAGAAGGGCAGGAATTAGGCAACCAAGTCCTACTATCAGTGATTTCATACATAGCAGTAAACTATCTATAATAACTAGCTATAGATCTATAGATGAAAAGCTATAACGCTCTCTTGTTCTGGCATTACAGGTTCAAAAGACAGGGTTAGTCAGGACTAGGTTCTGCCTCTTAACTGGAAGCAACAAAAAGCCAGGTTTTTGCTGCTGAGAAGACTTGCTGCTAAACTAAAGACGGTCTAGCATAAGCTACTTCTTCTTTCTTCTTTAAGAGTGGAATGCTTCTTTTAATTGATTGAAAGGGGGATCTCTAACAATTAGGGAGTATTGGACAGCTTCCTTGTCAGAAAAGCTCTTCTCTCTTATCTCTAAACTGTAACCAGTAAAGAGAATCAAGTCTCTTTAGATCGTGGACTCGGAACTTAACTAACTGCCGAGACGAGACCAATGCTATCAAGAAGAAGGAGTTCCGGTTCCCTGGCTGGAAAGCCATTTATTTAGAAGGAGGTTGTCAAAGAAGAAAAGGTACCTTGAACCCTTACATGGAAAGAAGAATGGAAAGGGCTTAGGGAAGGAACTTAACTCAATGCTGGGTTGACTGCTGGGAAGCTTGACTTAAGTGGATTCGGCCCTACCTTGGCTACGAACCTATTCTCGCTAAGAGCTAAGAACTAGGCATTTCAAAGCAATTACCTTCTTAGCTTACTTCCTTGACTAGGGATTCACTTCTTTGCTTACAGAATCTCTTGATAAAATAAAGTCTAGCTACATGGACGGTTCGAAGGGATTACGGACGAAAAGGTGATGGCTTTCGATCCTTATTTTAGGATTTGCTACCCTCAGATATTGCACTAGAAATGGAATGGAGGAGGCAGAGGTGACCGCTAGGGAGGCAGTAGTTACGCATGCAGTTGACTCGGGGGACGACCCGTTCCAACATCCATTCATGTCCCTCCAGATCCGAAGATACGAATCAAAATGTGAATGAAGCGCCTGCACCTGTTCGGAAATAGATGACGCTAGTAAAGCATTCAAGTATAGAGCTGCCAAACGAACATTAGGCAGATTCCCATTGTGAGCTAGGAGTGAAGGCGGAGCTGAAAGCGGTTCAACCCGCTAAATATATTATATTAGGAATCTCGTTTTTAATATAGAGATCTTCAAATGAGACCAATCCCCTCCTCTCAAAAAAAAAGAGTAGCGGTATCTGATACTGAACTAGATGCCGCAAAAGCCCCAACTCTGGCTCAAGAAAATAAGGGGTATCCATGAGATTAGTGCCCCTTCTGTTCGTAGTCCATCCGTCTCATCTCGTGCAGCAGGAAGCATCAAAGGAGGAAGCAGCTGAAGAACGGCATTTACTATTCGGATTGATGAAAATCTTCTTCATGCCCAGATTCGGAATCGGAATAGGAAGAGGATGCTCTATCCGCTCTCGAAGCAGTCGTAAGGTAAGGTTTTTACGTATGGTTTAGCGTAGCTCTTTAGCCTTTCGGAATAGTTAAAATTCCCTAAAGGCTGACACCGGCTTAATATAATAAGGTTTAAAAAGACCGCAAAGATGTGTGCTTGCTGCTGTATGCTGAATCAAGCGGTCCCGGAAATAAGTTTGTAGTGAGTGTAGTGCAATTTACTGGGTTCCTTAGCAGGCTCTCGCCCTATATACCTCGTAGCCCGAAGACTCGTCGCTGGTACTGGCTAAGGGTGTGGGAGTTCGCATCTATGGTCAATCAATAGGTCCGTTTTGACCTTCTTTTCTGTCTTAAAGTTTCGGGTTGGACCAGATATTAAAAAACCTGGGCTTTTGATAAAGCAAAACAGATACGAAAGCCTTGAGTCTAGTCTAAAAACCTCAAAAACTCCTTATTCTAGTGATGCTGCTTAAACTCGCTCTCTAGGATCTATGTTTACCAAATAGTTGGTTGAAGAATTATCGACCAACCCGGGAAAAGAAGAGCAAGGATAGAAGACTAAGCATTGAATCCAATCTCCTGCCTTGATCGACTGCTCTATTCATCGCCTACCACGGGCACCTCGACTCCCTCCCATCATAAGTAGGGCTTTTCCGTATGGATTTTACCATTAAAGAAAGATTCTTTAATGCCTCCGGGAGCGCCCCTTCTTTCAAAGAGAGGATTCTATACCAGCAGATTATCAAGCAGCGGTTTCATGCAGCAGACGATTTTCGGAATCAAAGAGACGATTCGTGCCAGGATGGTCGTAGATCATCTCCTCTTTAAGACGTCCTTAAAGGATTCTATAAAGAAAGCGGTTTAACATTAGTGAAGACTAGCTATATATCATGCTACTTCAGCTATATGTTTAAGACTAGTCTTTAGAATCTGTCTATCCTATCTATCCACCTGAGAGAGATCACTCCTGTAAAGAGCCTCACCTAAAAGAAAGACCAGTAATATAAGATATTTTTAACAGCAATTTTTGATCACTGAGATTCATTCTAACAGCCTATTCTAAGGTCGAGTCATTTTCCTTATTCTAGTGAACAAGCATAGAACCTTGACTTTGAATTACAATCAATAGAAAGAGAGATGCGATCGGCTATATCTTTTAAAGGATTTATGAGTAAAATCAGGCTTCCTTCAACATCTGCAACTGATAAAATATAATAAACAATCAAGACCAGGCTAACCCCTCTACACTCAGGGTCAGGAACGGGAAAAGAAGAATAAGTAGGACTGGCTCGAGGTAAATTCTTTTTAGGATATATACAACTCCCTTCTTTAGCGCTTGTTCGTAATATAAGACTGACTTCTATTTCTACCTACACATCTAAGAGCTCATATACCTGCGCATCTCACTAGCGTATCTCCTCTCTGTCCCGTAAGCATTTAGGGTCTTACTCTCTCTTCTCGGTCAGTATATTCCCCTAATCTCCCTAATCTCTCTGTCATTGGCAGATGTTGGCATTGGAATAGCCAACAATAATAGGTAATGAACTCCTTGGGATCGAAAGATAACTTTTGCTTGGGTCTCGAGGAATTGTTGAGCGAGGCTGACTTTAGAGGTGTAAGCACCGCGAGTCTCAATCCAGTCAAATTCCTGTTCTATTACTGGCTCATAACTGAGCGAAAGGCATAATAGATTCTTGCTCTTCTTAGCCTTGCAAATGAGGCGGTTGATAGACCCTTCCTGTCCTAGTGGTATGGTTAACATAAACTTCTTACTCTGAGGCTAGCTCTAGGACAAGCGGAGGTGGTTCTTTCTCTTCCGATTCCGAATCTGGGGTTAAGTCCAAGACTAATGTGTATCTTTCTGCTTTATTCACTTCCTGAACAGTTTCTGTGCCCATTCTGGATTGAATACCTGTATATCTTGGTAAGATTAGGGTCAACGGTTTGTGCCTGTCTATTCCATCCATCCCTTCGTGGAGTTAGGGCGTGTGATGTGTCCTTTCCGATGGAATGCCCTCTTCTACATGATTTCAACTATGCCGGAAAAGTTAAAAAGAAGAGTGTTCACTGGTAGCTAGTATTGAAAGAGAAGAAGCCGTTCCAACTGGTCCTATCATCCTAGGGTAGTAGTCAATCCGATGTAGCTAATCCGACCGGCATTAGTAGACGAGTACAAATTTATATAGTAGCCCTATACAATAGACGGCAGTTCCATTATAAATTATATGTAAAAAGTCAGCGCTAGGTTACCAAGGCCTATTAGTTTACAAAGTCAACATCGGAGAGTCTTCTTAACAGCTGTACTAATGCCGTTCGCCTTGACTTTAGTCATGTAGAGCATTCTCTTTTGGCATAGGAGCCTTCTAGGCCTACTTACTCTTATCTAAAAGGGCATATCGACCTTAGCCCACAAAGCCCTTGACTTTCCTTCTCTGCTTCGCACCATCGTTACACTCACCCTTCGTTACCCAGCCCATCGCTAACGCTCAGCCTCGTCTTTTGATTTGACCTATTTATTTCCCTCTGTATCTATTTAGGATAGAAAGCAGAAGGTCGCAAGTTAAGCTTCTGGAGAGAGCAATGAAAGAGTGAGAATTGGACCCATAACATTGACACAGGGAGAATCAATAGCTTGGTTTCCCACAGGCAGAAAAGGACTTGGCCTGGATGTAAGCTGTAAAATTAAAATAAAATGGTAGTATCCAAAAGGGCAGCTAAGCTAGCAATCCGAACAAGAAGATCTTCCCGTGGACTCAACAGGGTTCACGAATCTGATCAACTATTTACATTAAGTAAAGTTGGAATAGATCCCAGACTTCATAGGGAGATAGCCACCACTACTACTTTAGAAAGGACCGAATGGCGTGCCTTATACCTTTAAAATGAATGGTGGGCAGACCGGAATCGCTTTTCTCGCTCCGGATTTCCTCTTGGCCGAAAGGGTCGAGGCAGGAAGGAGAACGCTATATATACACCTCTTTGTACCTGGGACTAGACATAATAGCTTGAGAAAGGCTTGGGTGGATTGCTTTTCATAGCTATGTCGCTAAAGCCCTTGCGATTCGACTTTCCTTCTTTGATGGAGAGAATGCGTTGGTATAGAATCTAGCAGCAATCCTTCCCGCTAGGCGAGATCTTTGAGCATTGCTAAGCTACTCTTAACTTAATAAGTAATTTCGTCAGTCAGCAGTTCAGCCCGCAACTCACTAACTACAGCTTCTATCTCCTTCCTCTAGGTCCCATTAGACTGATCCTTAGTCCTTCTCCCCCGCAACCAAGCCTTAAGGCTTTCCTTATGCAGAGGGGATGCTCACTAATCGACTGCTTCTCTCGAGATGCGAAGAATAGCGTAAATAAAGACTCTCTTGGTCCTTTCGAAGCAGATATTCGTACGCCATTGGGTTATTTGAGGATGGCACTGGTTGAGGCTTGACTGCTTTCCTTGGTTTCCCTTTGGTTAGAAGGGATAACTCTTAATTAAGGCCTTAGGCTAGCAAGGTGAATGGATTTAGGAAAAAAAAGATCCCACGTCCCATACGAAAGAAAGACCTGGTTTTAAAAGAATAAAGAAGGCTATGGGAAAAGATCCCAGACTAGGCTCGCTCCAGGCGGATTCAATTCTTCCTCCCCCAGACCCGGCATAAGAGAAGGACTTCTTTTGATCTTATACAAGTTTTTCTGTTCCGGCACATGCATAGAAGGAATGAGAAATTAAGGGATTGGGCTTTTTCCCACACCTCAGGGCGCCTTGGCCGACCGACAGGCTGAGGGCAATGGAAACGCAAACAAAATTAGCGGTGACATATGCCCAAACAAAAATGGAGGGAGAGAGATCTCTGGTCTGGTCTTGGGAATTGTCGCCGGAGGTGGAGTCGTAACACCGACGGACCTTGGGATAAGAACCCCTTATCCCCCCGGACGTACTAATTGAGGAACCGGGTAAGAAAACTCACGATTAGAATAAAAGGTAGTTCGTTTTCTGCAAGAGGTGTTGGTTCGAGTCCAACTCGTCAGAAGGAATCCAAGCAAGAGACTGGCGCGCATACATGGGGTGGTTAAACTGAGTTGAAAAAAGGTTCCAATTTCGACGATCTATGTGCTTTTAGTATGCCCTCTTTCAGATCTCATTCGTTATCTCTAATTACTATGATGCATCTGGGGGACATCACCGGACTTTCCATCAAAGGCGAGTATTATGAAGAGGTCGTGCCAAGCTTTGGGGGTCTCTGCCCACTGTGCTAACACTTTATACCTTCTTTCATCCCCGTGTCCAGCATTGATCCCGGAGCTGGAAAGAAGGATTGTTTTTCTGTCTAGTTTAGACGGTCTTGTCTATGATGGAGTATAGAAATGTGATATTTGTTATCTCAAGTTCAGATAGCATCAGTAACCACTTCGCCATTCTCTTAAATAGGGCAGGCTTCTAAATTCTAAAACAGATCTTTATTGAAATGCATTCATACGTGGGATCCACGTACTGCCGGATGGAACCGAAATCCCACATATCGAGTTAGGAATGGTCCTTCCAAAACCTAGTCCGGATATAGAATGACCCAACCCCGGGCTTGTCTTGGAGTTTCCAACAGCTTCACGTAGCCCGAATAGGCCACTCACTGATCTCCAGCTTCGCCTTAGGTTCCCGGCATCTGTTTACTACAAAAATCTAGTAAAGATTTGTAACTAAACTTGGGATTTGCCGTTTACAAAGAGCGAAAAAGGCTAAAAAAAGGCATTTGATGGGATGACTCTATCTATGGGCCCAAATGCCACTCAATTGAAAAGGTGAGTAGCCGAATTAGCATCGTAGAGAAAGAGGGATTAAAATAATAAATCTGATCGAGTAATTCAAAGAAAGAGAGAATAAGGTTTGAAAAAACCACATCATCGATCCAATAACGTAATGTCGCTTCCCGACTCCTTTATTCCGTCATGCCTGGCTAGGAGTGAGAGAAGTGGTGGCATTATTAAAGGCTACCTCTTCCCTTTAGAAAGATAAGCCAAGACTAAGTCAAAATATCTTTATAAAAAATAAAAACGTTGTTTTCAGGTCTTTACGAGTACTCTAAGAGCTTGATTCAAAGCGCTTGTTATTCGCTCTTCAAAGGGCAAGGAAGAAGTAATCTCCCTTACAGGAGGAAACTACCTTTCTATCCTTCTCCACCCTCCACCCATATTCGATGCAGGAGTCTTGTCTCGTCAGGATAAACCAGGGTAACCCACGTTCACGTGGTCTCATGAGTAGAAAAAAAAATAAAAGGGCTTGAAAGCGGAGTGGTTATAGGTATTCGATGGCGGTTTATTCCTTCTCCTTGCTAGCCAGTGACATTCCTTCTACAACAAGCGATCCAGTTCCAGTCTATTCATTTCCAGTTGGGGGTCCACCAGTTGGAGTAGCTTCTCTCTTCTCGTGGTAAGCCCTTTCCTTTTCATGTGTAGCCTAGTCTCTGTGCGTGGATATCTTATACTATGAAAAGAGCGCATTCTAGGCATGAATCCTCTTCAACTTCAAGGGGAAATCCCCCGGTAAGGTATTGAGAAGGGATCGCCTTCTCTTACTGAACCACGGAATAGCGCGGGAAGTGCAGCTTTGCTCTTCCAGTTCGTAAAGGATCTTAGCCTACACCGGTTACCGACCTCCTTCCTCGTTCGTAGGCCTTTTGGGCTTTGGGGTCTATGTATGGATGTCTCTTTATTTTTTACAAGAAGAGCGGAAAGAAGACCACTTATCTTTTAGATAAAAGTTAATTGATTAATTAAATAAGGGCTTCACCCTATCTAACTAAAGGTAATTCCATTTCACCATTATAGGCAGAAAGGTAGTCCCTCATGTCAATTCGGAGAGATAAGAGATTGGAGATTCCGTAAGTCACTCAGTGAGTGCTCTCTAAATGTGCATCTTTCTTTCTCCGAGTCGTGTAGGGCCTGTTCAAGTTCCGCAGGCGGTTGGACCTTGGACGCAAGCAATAAACTTCTTGAATATCTCCGGATGGGCGGGAGAGGATTGCTAGGCAGCCTCCTCAGCCCATAAAAGATGATCTTATGTAGCAGCTCAATAGGACCCCCAGCTTCCATTTCCATCTTATAATTTCTGCTTCCCCATCCGCCTCCCCGCCCTTACTAGTAAAGGCTCCCATTGGGAGAAGCAGAAATTGATGAGTGAGCGATCCGGCTTCTAGCCCTTCAATGATGGATTTGTCTGAAAACCCCTCCCTCAGGGTCGAAAAGTTTGATGACCGGCGGCGCGAGGTTGATGAGCAGGGATGAAAGAAAGTTTCTTCGGTGCTGCTCCAGGACGAACAGTAGAGGCACATGGAAGTATTGGCTTATCGATCGGATGGAGGTTTCTTTTTCCTCTTCCGAATCGGAGGAAGATGAATCAATCAATAAGATGTGAACATGAAGAAAGAAGAGAGAGGAAATGCTTTGCCAGCGAACCAGTAGCAATCCGAGATGGAATTCCTTATATAAAGATATCTTCCCCTCGCTCTTTCATTCCGATTCCGGGCCGGGAAGAAAGCCAATGTCTTTCTTTCTGAGTTCGAATTCTATGTCTTAAGCATAGTGCACGAAAGAAGAGTATGGCATCTCTGCTTTATGCTTTCTAGTTAAAGTGGGTGGTAAGCCAGTCAGCAAGCCTATTCATTCCATGCAAGCAAGCTAGCCAAGGGGCAAAAGAGTAGTAGGCTTTCAAAGAATCTCCTTCCCTGCTGTCTGTCCTTTCCTTTTTTGTAGGAAGGGAATCTTTTTCACAGCGCCTACCTATCGACCGAGACTGGAATGAGAACAAGGGACAACAAAAAGACCAATTCCTTCAAGAAGGGCAGGAGGGAAGAGGTGGTTCAAGACCCCTGTGAGCAGTCTCTTTGATCAAATAAGGGATCCGACCGCTCCTGGTGTTCGAACTAGTCATTAATGGTCGGCTTCATTGGTATCCTTTCGGTATGCGTTGCGAACACTTTCATTTTTAGCGTCTCATCTTCTCTAGAGAAGCGAAACTCGAACGGATAGAGCAGATGGTCCAACTACATAACTTTATATTTTTCATTACTTCTATGGTCGTGCCTCGTGGCACGGCAGCACCCTTCCTATTGAAATGGTTCGTCAGTAGAGATGTTCCCACAGGTGCCCCTTTTTCCAATGGTCTTATAATTCCTATTCTTATCCCTTCATTCCCTCTTTTGGTCTATCTACATTCCAGGAAATTCATACGCTCCATGGACGGAGCAAAAAGTGGAGTCTTGGTCAGAGCAAGCCGCCCTATTCTATTACCAGACATAATTGGGAGAAGCTCATCCGAAACTAGAGCTGGAAACGCCTCATTTCGTTTCGTTCCCGTTCTTCATTTCCTTCTTCTCGAATCCAAGGGGGACTTATCATATTTAGAATCTTTCTGCGGTGTGCTCTGTTTACTATTCTTTCGTACTCTCTTCTCTTTACCACGCGATAGGTCAGCAAAGCGTGAGCGGGCGCGGAGAAGGAAAGGCCAAACACTTCGGCCTAACCCTAACGGGAATGAGCAACAACGAAATGACAAGATGAGGTGCTCCGGGCACCCCCATTTAGAAAGAAGGGTCGAAGGTTTTGGGCCTGTAGCTTTCCCCGTCCCCCCTTCGTCGGGTGGTGCTTGTGTGGGGGGTGTGCCACCTGAACCTGAAATCGGGCTTGAAGCTCTCGCCTTACCAACGAGCCGACTGCTGATGGCTGTTGGTCACGACTACCACCAAAAAGCTCCAATGAAGATTAATATTTCACATTTTGGAGTGTGCATCTGTATTTTGGGTGTTCTTCTGTCGTGCGACCCGGCGGCTTATGTGCGACCTGTGGCCCACGCCTCCTATACTTGTTGTTCAGGGCGGGCGGCGTGAACTCTGACTCGATCCGGGTATTCAATCCCGCCGCTGAGATGCTCAGTTGACTCCTTAACCTTGATAGGAAGATGGCTTATTCAATAATTCGTGCATAAGGGTAAGGAACTTTGGATGAACTAATGCGAATGGGTGTAAGCCTCGCTGCTCGGAAACACCCAGTGCTGACCACACTGAGAGACACGAAAGCGCAGGTAACGCCAGTTGGCGAAGTGGCGTTAAGCATCCCTAGCGGTACGAAAAGAGAGGTCGTGATGATATCATCTACGTCCGTACCGCTCCTCGTGGAGTAGATCCCGCATCCAACCAAGTCTTTGACCAGGGAACGGGATAATTCCCACTACCGCAGGAAGGCCAGCCGGGCCGTGAGCAAGGATGCGGTGGGAACGGGCTTCCCAAAAAGCCAGCCCCCTCCTTCTCCTTTTGTTGGGCCGGGGTCGGCATAGAATGAAGGGGACGGCCCTAATGTTGTGTTGGCAAAGCCAACTTCTTGGGTTGCGGGCGGAGAAGAGCAGACGTGGGGACTCAGACCGGGGCGCAGCGTAACTAAGAGAGCCATTCCATTTAGGGCGAGACAGAATGGGCGGGCACGAGCGGTCTGGTGTCCGAGCCAATTGGTCAGACGACGACTACTTCACTTATTAGATTAGTATTCGCCGCCTATCCCGAAAAAAATGGGATGAAATAGAAAGAACGCGAAGCGCTATAGTATAGAAAGGTTTTTTTGGGGGGGATAAGCTTGTGAAGAAGCAAATCCCCCCAAAAAACCCGACCGGCAGCTGCTGGATCTCCCCATCTCTCCTAAACTTCCCCCGGTCTTCGGCCCGAGCTGTATGAGGCAGAAACTCGCCCCACGTACGGTTCGGAGGCCGAGCCCCACCCCAGCAGTAATGGTGCGGCTTAGGTCAACTAACACAAAGAAGATACAGTTCACTCAACGATTGCCTTTGGGTTCCGAACTCCATATGGGGAAGGAGCGTTGTTGTTTCCGAGGTCTCGATCATTTACATGGACCCACTTCTCATTCCATTTTTGGGAATTTGATGATCTATAAACCGTCCCTAACGAACGATCGCCTCATGTTTGAGCATGATGAATCACTTCGTGCCGACCTGTTGCCAATAAACTTTCCGGCCTCATATGAGAATGGAAAACTTGAGCATTTTCTGCATCGGTGGATGAAGAATCGCGAACATAATAATTTATGGTTGACCATGTTCCCAGAAAAAAGATACTTTAGAGAAAGAACGAGCACGACTGAAGTGGCTATACATACAAATCCATTTACGGATAGATATGCTTCGATTGGAACTGGAAGTTCCAGAACAGGCGGCTGGTATACCACCATAATTAAACTGCCTTTTATTTTTTTGATTCGGATAGGATTTATGTTGGCTTCGTCGGGAGGCTCGCGTAGTTTGTTACGTCAGCTCCAAAAGGATAAGTTGCGTTGGAATCGATAAAGTTCCGTGGAATTCATAATTGCATTAATCAAATAAAAGGAGTCTTCAACCCTCTCAATCAATAGAGGCTAGATCGGACTAAGGAGCGAGACGGTTGAGTACGGAAGCGAAAGCGGAGATATAGGCTAGCTAAATGCCCAGTGAGAAGACTTACATGAGTAAGGAGAAATCCGAATGACTAGTGGCCATAACTCATTAAGCAATCTTAACCTTTTTCGCTTAGCCTTTCCTCTTTCTACCGTTACGAGATGCAGTATCCTCATACGTCTTTGCACGGTTTTCGACCGGGATTCGGACTCGGACTCGGACTCGGAAT